TAACAGGCACGAGATTGTCTCAACAGGCACGAGACTGACTCAACAGGCACGAGATTGTCTCAACAGGCACGAGACTGACTCAACAGGCACGAGATTAACTCAACAGGCACGAGATCCTAGAGTTAATTATTTATTTGAATTTTAAATTCAAAATTCGAATAAATAGTCGTGTCTGTTTGTGAAACAAGACATCTTTTCTGAAAGGGTCTATTGGTTGCCTATAAATACACAAGAATTCCAATGAAGTGGAGATAGAAAATCACAAGTGTTACTGCAGGCTTTGTTGTATCCTGAATAGAATCGTTTTGTATTTTCCCTAAATTAATATACAGGCGATAACTCTTTAAGGACAGTCCATTTTCACGCCTCAAAGCCAATTTTGTTTATTATTTTTCTAACAAGAACAGCCTAACAAGTTGGAAGAACAATGTCACAGGGTTCAAATTCGAACTTATCAGCCTTTGGAGCAGAAATTTTTTAAGATTCTAAAATAGATCAATCATCAAATATCGACATAAGTTTTGGAAGTAACAAGCATGCGGTCCCTAACAGTTTGATCCCCTTAACCCTTGAAAAAGAAAGACTGATAATAACCTTCTTTACTTGAGAATTGAAGAATCTTCATCTGGGAATAAACCCTCTAACCTCTAAGAAGTTGCATCTAGACCATGGAAGATTGGAAGTTTGTGAAAATCAAACATTCTGGAAAACTTGCTAGCTAAATCCATCTGGAACCAGGGAAGTATGAATGCCATGGTATAAGTATTGGGCTCTCTTTTTTCTGGTGCAAGAGAAGAGAAGAAACGAAGGCAACGAGATAGAGAGAGTAGTGACAGCCGAAAAGACAAAAGATAAGGCTAGAAATGAATGGTCTGCTCGTAACTGCCAAATTAGAGATGACAACAAGAACAAGAAGATGTAAATCAAGTAACGACTAAGAAATAGAGGCGGATTTTGAACTCGTCTAACTTTCTCAGAATCATGATCATTATCACCATATCACTGAAGAACCAAAGTAAATTGCACGATGGATGTCTTGCAATTCTTGATGCACAGCCATAACAGTTTCTTTTACCCCAAGTAAGCCATAATCACAGCATTTTCCCATACACTTTCGTTGACAATAGTTCATAACTTAAAATTTGGTATATATATATTTTTCTCGGTATCTTTCATAAAGTTATTCCCCCTGCCGGTAAGAGTACTGAAAATGATGTTTTTGTTCTTATCATGTGGATAAGAGCCGACGGAATACCCTGCCTCATCTGCCCTCTTTCTCAACTTTAGTTTCAGTTGTAACCTTTACTCCTTGCTTCATAAAGATATCAGCCGGCTTTCTACCATCCCCTGATATTATTTAGGTTGAATACATAGACAGCCCATCGAACTTGTCACAAAGTTTCATGTAGACACCTTAACTAAATATATGACCAATTGAAATATTGAACACTTTAAAAATATCCAGTCCAAAAAACAAATAGCGTGTAGACTGTAGTATACAAGCCAGTGGCAATAAACGAATAAATTTGTGATAAGTGTAAAAGGAAAAACTAGAAGGCATAAAAGAAATACACGAGCTTCTTCTTCAACAATTTCGAGCCTGCGGCAGATACACGAGCTTCTTCATCCGGTGACTGATTTTGATCCATGACATCAGTGAAACCAAAAACTAGACCAGAAAAGCTAAGAGAAGCAACATTGTAAACGAAGTCGGCACTGTGTTTGCTGCAACTGCTGGCTTAACCTAGCTTTCAAAGTGTTTTATAGGAAGAAAGTATCGAGCCAATATACAATTAATTCTACTCTATAACTGAAAAAAGGAGAAAAATTCAGGTTTGAAGTAAGCTCTCTGCCAGTCTGCCTCTGCCCGAAAAAACGGTGATGGAATTGAGAAAAACAGAGCAAAAAAAAAAATATAAGAGAAGAAGAAAAAGGAAGGAAGGAAGGAAGAAAGAATGCTCTAAAAAGCTCTCCACTGCTCGCTCGAAAACAACCCAGCGGAAAAAAATAGGAGAACAAGAAGAAAGAAAGAAGAATGAAGAAAGAAGAAAAAAGAAAGAAAGAAAGAAGAAGAAGAAAGAAAGAAAATGGATAAAGGTAGAAACTTGAAGAAGGAAAAGAAAGGAGAAGAAGAAAGAAGAAAAGAGAAGCATACCTGATGTCCTGATCGAAGAAACTTGAAGAAGAAAGAGGAAATCTTGTTTGCTTCTTTGCTGTGGGGCTGGGTCGACGAACTCAAGCCCTAATTTATATTTTAATCGCCGACAATCGCGGCCTTTTTCTTTTCCTTTTTTCAAAAAAGCATCGCTGCTGGTGCCTTTCGCTACCCAACGTCTCTCACTACTCAAGCAGAGGCGCTCGCCTTTTTGATATCGCCACACAACAGAGGCAAATAGCGCCAGAGGCATGCATCACATCGCATCGCCTCACACTATTACCGCTGAGGCAAGCGCTATTTACAACCCTGAGCTAGAGTTAAGTCACGAGACTTCACTGGGCTTCACCCTCCCACCTTCACATGCATGGACCCAAAAGCAGCGAATGCAATTTTTGGAGAAAATTGAAGAAATATTTATTTCAGTAGGTTGTCTGGATACTCAGGCTATTGAGCAGGTTGGGTAGCAGTTGACTCAAGCTGAAAGATGGTTGAGAACTTACAAGAAGAGCAGAGGTCTGAATCTACCATCAATCTCTTGGCCACAGTTCACACAGGCTTTCATGGAAAGGTTCCTGCCCAGCAGCCAACAGGATGAACTCAGGCGTGTATTTGAAAACCTCGTATGATGACAGTTACGGAGTATGAAATGGAGTTTAACAAGGTAGCAGAGCATCCCCCCATCTTGGTCCCTACAGAAAAAGAAAGGGTCAAAAGATCTGTGGACGGTCTTAATCCATGTACTCCATCTTGATCCCTACATAGTCAAACGCATAGAGGTTTTTGACAGAATTATCAAACAATATTGGGAGGCTAGCAAAAAGCCAAAGACCATAGGTGGTAATAGCGTGCAGATAGGTGGAGCAAAGAATAGAAATCACATAGCTCAGAGTCAATCAATGGCTCAATCCTTTTCGTACCTGTCTCCCTCCGGGCAGAATCAACAGGCTTGAAATCAAGCTTATCAGGGGCATAGTACACCTACTGAGAGTCGGACAGTTCAGTCTTACCCCTAATTCCCTACTTGTCAGAAAATACATTATGGACTTTGTCGATTTGGTCAAAGGGGATACTACCATTGCAATGATCCACGCCATATGAGAGATTGCCTTCAACTCAAGCAGGCACAGCTACTCGGGCAGCTTCTACAGCTACTACTCTCACTGTACCTCCTCCAGTTCGGTTTAATAACCCAGTAGGTTGTGGTGTAGGTAGGAAAGGAGCTCAGGCAAATGGCGGACCAACTAGGCTTTGTGCCGCCCATAACGAAGGGCGGGCCAACGAGGACGAGTTGAGTAAGACTGACAGGCTTCTAGGCTGGCAAGCTTCTAAAGAAGGGGTACTCATGTCATCTTACGCAAATTCCACAACAGAATGGGAGACGAAAATGAAGAGCTTTATAAGGCACAACAAGTTCACATGGTACACGCGCTTTTGGGGCTCGATATGGCGTAGCCCGAAAGAAAATTCCTTGCGGGCTTAGGCCCAAAACGGACAATACGTGTCATGGGCTTGGGTCATGACAAATATAGTATCGGGACGATAGTGGGGCAAACCTCAGCGAGGATGCTGAGTCCTTAAGAGGGGTGTATGTAACACCCCAGGCTTTAGACAGAGTCC